TGTCAGGGTTCTAGATGCCAGAAGTTCGAAGCAGACAACTAAGTAGCGTACGATGTTGAAGCTCACTTCCATTTGACCATCGCGAGAACAAGTTGAGATTGAGATTGACGTACATTGTTTAAGGTTATGAGCCCAAAATCGCTCGGCCCGAACGATGTCCTACAAGACGATAATTACTTCCTGTGGGAATTCAACGCTAGGATGGCGTCTGCGCGCAAGAACCCCCTCGGCCATGTGCAAGTCAAGTCGGAAAACGCGATGGAGCCACGCTCGGCGGAGTGGGAAGCCTCCGACATGAAGGCCCTGGGCATTCTGATTCATTTGCTCAGCCCCAAGTACCAAACAATGGTGAGAGAGTCGAGGTCAGCCTGTGAAGCTTGGGAGACGCTACGGACATTCTTCGTGCAGAAGAATCTACATAACCGCGTACAGCTGCGCAAACAGCTACATGATTTCAAGATGGTCCCCGGTGAGAATTCGATGGACCATTTGATGCGTTTCGAGGACCTCTTCTTGAGGCAAGGTTGGTCATAAGCGTGCTGACTGCCCTCAACAACGCAATGATTTTGGTGATGACTCCGGAGAAGTCGTATTTTCGGTCAATGATAGCAAACGTGCATCCAGTTGGCTGCTGCATAGTGGCGCCAGCTCGCACATGAGCTTTGCACGAGATGAGTTCTCTGAATATCGGCAGTTAAACGTCCTAATGACGGTGACAGTCCCGAACGGGCAACAACTGCAAGTATGTGGGGTTGGCTCGGTGCGTTTTGCAATGGAGAACTTCCAAACTGTGAGATTCACGGATGTAGTGTACGTTCCACAACTGTACAGGAAGCTTCTCTCTATTGCAGCACTGGTCGCAAAAGGTTCTGAGGTTTTATTCAAGAAGTACCACTGTGATATTTGCTTCAGGGGGAGATTGGTCGCGCGGGTACGATAGGGAGGGAAGCTGATTCCGTTATCTCATACTGTGCGTCGCTGGAGACACGACACAAGGAGTTGAAGTGGCTGCAGCATCTTTGAAC